CTGTGGCCATGTGACTAAAACATGGTTGGTGGATAAAGAGCACCGCAGGCCACAGGAAAATGTGCACATGGTGGATTTGAACCATCCGTTAAATACAGCATTTTGTGATGAAAGGGTTTCCCCCTGAAAGCAGCCGTTCTCACAAGTCCAGTTTTTGACACCGAACTTTTCAGCTCGAATGAATCAAAATATACACATGCAGCCGAGTGTTGCTCATATATACAGACGTGACCGCGTATGAAGGAACTCTGAACCATCTACAGCGTTTTCTAATCGGTTCTGCCATTATTTCACACCCCTGAGGAGTTTTTATGACCTGAGAAGCTCATTTTCATCCGGACACACACACAAACCGTCACCTCGCCGACTGACTGCGTCACTGCTAAACCTACGTATAAAAATAGAAACCGTCCCTTATTTCCTCTTGTGCTGGACCTCCTAAAGGAATGTCAGAAGTTAAGTCTTCTTGGCACTTTTTCAGGAGCGGCCTCGTCAAGTCCGCTGTGCCAGATCAAACCCGCGGGGATAAAAGCTTTGTTGAATCTGCTCCATAAATCTGTCAAACCAGGTCTGTTTTTTTTTAGAGCTTATTTTAGGAGAGATAAAGAAAAGTACTGGATCTGAAATGAAAATCCAAACAATAAGAAGGGCACTGGTGGTTAAACAAAAAGGCAAATGTGCTCATATTTCACATTTTGGTGCAATCAACAATCAGAACATCAGAATTCAGAAGTTTTAGGATCCCAAACTTCATGTTTTACTTACAAACTGTCATCTGTGCTTTCAAAAAACGACTTTGATGGAGAGATGGAACAGTTACCAAGTAAACGGATAAAAGAAAGATTAGATCTTCTCTTCTATCGTCCACTGTCAAACATTTATAAGGAGACATTAATAAATGGTTTCTAACACACTGTAACGTTACAAGTGCCCACGATGTGCTCATTTACAGTTTTATTGTTTCATTTTGCAGCAGACTACGTCTACATGTTAAAGAATGCAGGATTTTCCTCACAGGCGTCACTGATACCGAACCTCTGGCCCTCCTGTTATTGTTCACCTGTCTCTGCTGTGATTGGTCACTTGGCTAATCGAGAATAAGGCACTGTCAGAGAACGTCTTTGCAGGGAGTCGTGCTGAGACGATCCAAAATGAACGAGACTTCATTGAGCTGCAAATTTGCAGGGTCAACATTTTTGATAGGCGGGCAGGAGAGTGTATATAATTCTACTTTCTCTCTCGAAATATTTTTAAACAAGTTCAGTTGAAGTAAAATACGTTTTTGTAAGTATTAGAGACGTGACAGGAGCGTGCACCACGAGTCTCAGCAGCTTTGATTTCAGCCATGAAGCGAGCAGCAAAGATTTTTAGAGTCACCTTCAATCACAGCCGGCTGCTTCTGTTCATGCTGTGGTTCAACCACACTGCTGTGGGAACGGGCATCGTCGAGGGGGCCGTCCTGACCAATCAGCACGTTTTAGCACAATGCGAACATTTTAACTTGAAAATGAAATGGCCTGAGTGTAATTTTATTTTATCAAAAAACAAACAAACACAAAAAAAGTAAAACGTGTAGAGCACAAATCATTTTAGCCCCCGAGCTCCACACACTCCACTTCACTCAGGAAAATCTGTCTACTGCCCCCTGCTGGACTTTAGGCAGTTTCGCTTCAGTTTAGCGGGAAACAGTGAGCGAAGTTCATCTGAGGACGAGTCAAACCAGCGGTCAGGCGGCCGCTGTGCCCCGTGTTACACTCAGAGACCCACTCAAACAAAGGAAACGTATAAAAAAAATAAAAAGGGCACTTCATTTAGTCTGCATGTCGACAACAATAACTCCTCCTGTGCTGTAATGACAGGATACTGATGACGTGCTGTAATACTGGAGTTATGAATGTTGAAACTGGAAACACTTGAAAATGTCTTTTAACTCCTAATTTACAGTGTGTTAGAAACATTTACTAAATATTGACATAGTTACAGATTTGTAATCTTATGTAGCCGGATTTCTTTTTTCTTTTCTTTTTGATCATCTCAACCTGTCAGATTCATCTTCACAAGCCGACAGATAACCGAAACCCAACCGAACAAACCAATCAGAGAGCAGAATCATCATCTGTGAACTGTAAACA